CCGTGTCTAAACGTGCGAGACCGAAGACTTGTGCAAACCCCGTGTGTAAGAGCGTTCACTAGCAAAAAGTGCCAGGCAAATGCTGTAAGTATGACTCAGGCTGAGCTAATCTGTACGAAGGAGAGATTTTAAGGCTGATCAAAGTGGCTTTAAGATGCCGTGAGTTTCCAGCAGCCAAACGACTCTGCTTTTGGCCCAAACTGGTTGCGCACCGTGTCCCCCCGCGCTGTCCCCGTGGGATGCTCCTCTCTGCCCTTCCCCATCGTCTCCAGCCACCCCAGTATCTATTCACTGAGGCCTTCGCCTGGGGAACGGCACGGGATTCGTAAGGGATTCGTAAGGATCTGTATCCCAGCAGTACGAATGTGCTTAAATTACAATTTGTAGACAAACGATGTGTATTATTTTAATACGTGCGTGTGTACCCAGATGCTGAGCGATGGGTACACGATACAAATTTATAAATAAATATAGTTTGCAAATATCAGTGGTGATTTACATACTTTTGACATCCTGGGAAGTGGCAGATATTGCAGTGTCCTCTCAGGAACGATTCCTTTTGCCATAGTCTGGATTTTTGTCCTGAACAAGAGTGTTGCATTTAAGCTTTGCATGTTCTTACGATATGAAATATGAGCAGTTCCAGTCTCCCTTTCTGTTACTACCCCTAGTAGATAAATTCACACATATTAAGATTAAGCAATTGATACATATCCTTAAATGCTACTGACGCTGTTGAGCTGAGAACAGGGAATTGTGGTGCTGGAGCAGGTTCTGAAAGGTGTTTTCTTTGTGTCTGCCATGGCACTGGGGTGCTCAGCGTTCCTTCTGTCAACCAAATAGGATTAAAAATATATTTTGATTATAAATCCTTCTGGGAACGCTATCTTCGGCTTCTTTTTTCAGTAGTATTTGTGGTGCTTTTAGCTGTAGACCAGGGGGGTCATGCTTGGAAAAGCGGAGTTTGTTGTTGTCTGGAGAGTTTTTTATTCATTAAAAGCAGAATTGTAATGCAGAAATTGAAGAGTTAATGTGGCCTTAACAGTTACCCGACCTTCAAATTACTAAATCTCTGTCGGTGGGAGTACTGTAACCGGGACGGTACGGGAGCTTTTGGGGCGACTGATTTCACCCCGCTGTGTTTTCCGTTTGCGCGTGGGATCGCTGAACGCGACGTATCGCGATCCGGTTCTCGGAGAATCCCCCCTGACCCTCCACACCACGCTCCTGGGGCCGGGGGGGCACGACTGGTCTCTTTTTAGTCTCCTGTTACAGGCTGTCTTCAAATTCAGGAGTAGCTCAGCTTTGCTGACATGCGGTGCGCTGTTTAGAGAGCATTTTTGGCAACTGTTAAGAATTAGATTTTTTTTTTTTTTTTTTCCTGATGGGTTTTAGTACAAGCTGGCTTCCTGCGGAATCTGAACCTTTAAAGAGGCGGACGGGATCTCACGTGGTTTGGAATGAAATCCTGAGCAAAAAAAAGAGGGGGTTTTCCGGACTGGTCTAGCGTAGCTTTGTGGAAAGGTCTCTATATGGTGCGAGACGGAGCTGGAGCGGGGAATGGCTGGGAGGGAAGCTGGTGGCGGGCGCTGCCGCGCGTGGTCGTGCCTGGCGTCTCGGGAACGGCTGCGTGCTGGCCTTGCTGTGCACAGGAGAGTGCACGTGGGGTTTGCACAGGGAGATTTTTTTCTGTGGATGAAAAAATAGACCTTTTACTCCATCTAAAAAAGGTTTTCTTCTAGTTTTCACATCGTCTCTGGGTGGCCTTTAAAATTCTTACCTGCTGGAAGCATCTTTAGGCTGTGCATCTATTGAGGCACACTATATTCATTATGTTTTTAGATGTATTTA